AGGTAGATGAGGATCAGATGAGAGTCAGCTGATGCGAACTTGACTAACGTGACCTGCTCACAGATGCCCAGAAGATGCTTGATTCTTCAAACGAATGCTTAGTTTGTATCTCATTATTATTAATAATAATTTTAAAAGGCTATACAATAAAACATACGATGACAAATTCACTTATATTAAACTTTGAACTTTTATTAACAATATAAGGAAAATGTGTTTTACTCACATTGTAACACAAATAAATAAACGGTCTTTGGATTTACCCTTTCTTTAAAACGATCGTAGTTTGTGGATCATTATATTAATTAAAATACATCAGCCATAAAATAGTACAATTGCAAATTCGCATAGGCCTATATTAAACATCTAACTTTTATTTTAAAAAATGAATTAGACGGATATAGCCTACTTGCGTTGTATCCCAAATAAATAATGTCTATTCCCTCTTTTAAAACAAATGCTTAGTTTGTGGTTCATTGTTTTATTTAGGCTATTTATTTATTTTTAATGAAAACAGAAACAATAAAGACAAACTCGCTTAAATTAAACAAAGAAATGAACCTTTATTAACAAAAGGTGCGCTTTTGGATCATTGTGTCACGCATCACTCTCGTCACGTGACCAACCCCAGGTCAATTTAGCTCAAAGGGAATCATTTAAGATTTTATAGGGAATTTGGACAGAATCACGGTTTTACGATCACTGAGTCGGCCAGCGGTTCATTTAAAGAGCCGTATAACATAAATTCTGCAATGGATATTAATATCCAAAGTATAGTGAAAACACTATTTATTAGCACAGTAACAAGATCGGCAGTTTAAGACATTAACTTGTAAGCACAAAACACAAGATACTTCTCTTTTCAATATTCCATGCTATGGTAAGTGCACACGCTAAGCTTCTGTGCACTTTCTAAAATCCACATGGTGGTAAATGTGCACGCAAAGAACTCTGCTCACTTTCTAAAATCCACATGGTGGTAAGTGTGCACGCATAGAACTCTGCACACATTCTAAAATCCTGTATGGTAAGGGTTACGCGTTTTTAGCCTCGTTCCCTTTCTCTGAGTTGGCTTAGACCCCGGTACTCGC